GGTTTCACCGTGTTCGCCAGGATGGTCTCAATCTCCTGACCTCGTGATCCGCCCGTCTTGACCTCCCAAAGTGCTGGGATTACAGGCTTGAGCCACTGTGCCCGGCCCAGTGCACAGTTCTTTTGGGTCTATGCATAGGAGTGGAATGTGGGGATCACAGATGTGGTCTCCTTTAGTAGGTATTACCCAAGGGTTTTCCAAAGTAGTTGTGCTATTTTACATTCCCAAAAGTAGTATATGAAGTTTCAGTTACTCCACATTCTTGCCCAAACTTGGTATCAACAGTGTTTTTAATTTTAGCCATTCGAGTAGGTGTAATATTGGTTTCTCACTGTGGTTTAAATTTGATGGCTTACGAGGTTGAGCATGTTTTATATGCTTTTTGGCCACTGGGATGTTCATTTGTTCTTTCCTCTCCCTTCCTCCCTCCTCCCTCCTCCTTCCCTTTTTTGTCCCTCTTCATTTCTTTCACCTATTGGTCTGCCAGCTTTTTTCTTAATTTTTTAAAAAATTTTATTTTACTTTAAGTTCTGGGACACATGTACAGAACGTGCAGGTTTGTTGCACAGGTAAACACGTGCCATGGTGGTTTGCTGCACTTGTCAACCCGTCACCTAGGTATTAAGCCCCGCATGCATTTTTCTTATTAATGTACAGGAATTCTCTTTATACTCTACCTGTGATTCACCCTCCTCCATTCCCGCCTCTTTTTTTTAAGAGACAGAGTCTCACCCTGTCACCCCGGCTGGAGTGCAGTGGCACAGTCATGGTTCATTGCAGCCTCAACCTCCCAGGCTCAAGTGATCCTCCTGCCTCGGCCTCCCAGGTATCTGGGACCACAGGCATGCACCACCACGCCCAGCTAATTTTTCGTTTTTGCTAGATACAAGGTCTTGCTAAGTTGCTCGGGCCGTTCTCTAACTCCTGACCTCAAGAGATCCTCCCACCTTGGCTTCCCAAAGTGCTGGCATTACAGCATGAGCCACCACACCCAGTCCCATCTTTTTGCTCTCTTATTGACGAAAAATTCTTAATTTTACTATCGCCCAACGTATCAATCATTTTCTTTGGGGATAGTGTTTTGTCTTATTGAAGAAATTTTTACCTGACTCCTAAGGAACCTTAAAAATCTCCATATGCCTACAAAGTCCCACTGTTCTAATGCCTATTTTGTGCTAGAAAATAAACAGGGCACTGTCCCAAAGGCTACGTCTATCTTGTGGGAAAACTACCTTCATCATCATTTGCCAAGCCAGATGATCGGGATGAGGATAATTTCCATGGCTCCCGGCATCTGAAACCCTTCCAGAATAGCTGGGATTACAGGCACCCACCACCACGCCTGGCTAATTTTTTGTAGTTTTAATAGAGACGGAGTTTCACCATGTTGGTCAGGCTGGTCTCGAACTCCTGACCTTAGGTGATCCACCCACCTCGGCCTCCCAAAGTGCTGGAATTACAGGCATGAGCCACCTCGCCCAGCCTTGTTCTCTTGTATGTCAGTTACCCCTCCATGAGGCTGCTAAACATCCTCCCAGCACACACACACCTGCACGTCCTCATGCAGTTTGCAAGGCAGTGGTTCAAGTTACACTTTAATCCCTCAAGCGTGCTCATCTCGCTCTCCAAACCTGCCCTCTTGCAGGATCTACGGTTCTTCTAAGTGTCCTGGTCACAAGGCAGCTGGATCAACACTCAGAGGTACAGAGCCGGACAGAGTGTGGTCCCTGCATCTGTCTCACCCCCACGATCTTGACACACAGAGACGTTCCCAGGAGCTGTGACTTGAACTTCACAATCTGCAGGGCCCACCCAGGAGCCGTGTCCTCCTCACAGGCAATGGGATCCCCTCCTCTTTCCACCTGTGTGGGAAGATTGGAAACAAAACATAGAGAACGTGGGAGGAAAACACTGAGGGGGTGGATGGGCCACACCTGAGGGTCCCCAGGACAGAGGGAAACACTGAGGGGGTGGATGGACCACACCTGAGGGTCCCCAGGA